TTATTTTTGTAGCATATATTCATAATTCTAAATTGAAATATCATATTCTTAAACAACATAAATAATAATTTTATAGTATGAGTATGTATTTCTGTTAAAAAAATGTACGTAGTTAGATGCATAATAAGTGAATGCAAAATTGCTACTAAGATTATTGACTATAAAAACATGTAGGATTAGGTAAATATTGAAAGAACTGTTACTTTAATAATTAAAGAGCCTAATAAAATTTTGACTTAGAGTTGGCATGGTAAAAAAATATCAAGGCTAGATAGTAGATACAATGAAACATACTTATTAAAAATGCAGGTTCAAGTGGTCCCAAGCATTAAAACAGATGCATCGTATTTAGCAATAATAAGATTTTTTTTTTATGGACACATAATATTTTTATTTTATTTTAAATTATAGTGCCTGTGTGTCACACACAGAGAAAATCAAACTTCATTTTCTCGATCCGTTGAAAATATTTTATTTTATTTATTTTTTTTGCTTCCTTCATTAACTGTTTTGTCTCCCGTTTTATTTGATGTGCTATATAGGACCTCATGCCTCGACCAATAAGTCAATAACGAATCACCACTAGTTAGCCACATTTTTTTAGTTCCCTCTATACCACGTAACTCGTGTTATATTTTGATTCTATTTTATCCATATATATTGATTTGCTAATAAAAATTTGTTCCAATTTTGTGATTTTTTTGGTTAATTTTGTGATAACCAACATCTTGGACATTTTAATCCATGTTTAGTTGTGTTTTTGGATTTCATTTTTCCATTTTTATTTTATCTGTTAGAACATTAGGAGAATTCGAGTGACTAGATGAAACATATACACACAAATAAGTGAGTGTGTATTGATTTAACAGTCTTTCTCACACAAATATGTTTATGGAACAAAAATAATTTTGAGTGAAAACTTTTTATGAAATGCAAAACATAATTTTTAAATTACAATTACATAATATTTTCATTTCACTAGCACATACTTATATTATTGTGCTTCAATAATGTGCTTCTGCTTATGTTTTTGGGAGATGATAACTCTTTGGTCTCATGTTGAACTTGTGATCATGTCTTAGTACATAATATACACTTTCCCGTTTGATCGATATATATTCATGTGAATATATGTGTGCGTAAATTTGACTGATCCAATATTTAAAAACCCGATAAGAATAGTATTCTCTAGAATTGAAACTTCGAAAATGTTCGAATTTTAGTTGGATGCAATTCCATCACAAGCCCCACTTCACACTTCAACAATACTATTATATATGCTCCATCATTAATGTTGACATGTCATGGTACACTAGGTGTCACCTTTTCTAGAAAAAAAACATGTTTCGCCTATTTGAGCTCAATTTGGTTAGCAAGAATTGGTATATCTTATTGTGAAACATTAAAATAACATAATTTACGTAAAAGTATGTAAGTTTTATGATATAAATCATTATTTTTATTTAAAAAAATCCAACCGAAACCAGTTACACTGTTTGATACAAGAAGTTGTGTAGTAGATGCTAGAGCCAAGATGAAATCCACGTGTAAATATTGGTCTACGCAAGTGCAAGTATGCCTTTTCCGAACAACGTGGAAGACACACGTGGCACTCCCTAATTGGTCCTCTTTAACAATAGCCCACGACAGACAGTCACACTTTGACGTGGATGTATGAGATTGATTAATTGCCTTTTATCCAATGGCTACTCTCAAGTCCTTGTACACATTCATATGACTTGTGACAAATAGCCACATATTTTTTTTTTTTTTNTCTAAACTCCAAATCAACAACTATATATGTTTTAATGAAATGTAGCTAACATTTTCATCAATAAATTAGTTTTGATTATAAAATTTCTATGATTAAATAATTATCATGATTTTACCAAAATTTGATTAAATGCAAAACTTCTGTTGACACAAAATGCAGGGCCTGGTCATACTCGCGGTGCAAGCACACTCGAGCTCGCTAAAGCCCCCGAGATGCGACCCCACCGGCCTGTGTGAGAAGGTCCACGGCCCGAAAGCTGCAATGTTGTTCGTGGGCCTGTATCTCGTGGCCCTAGGCGTGGGGGGCATCAAGGGCTCGTTGCCGGCCCACGGTGCAGAGCAGTTGGACGAGAGCACCCCGCTCGGGCGGAAGCAGAGGTCGACTTTCTTCAACTATTTTGTGTTCTCCCTCTCGGTAGGGGCCCTCATTGCCGTGACCCTAGTCGTGTGGATCGAGGACAACAAGGGATGGGAGTGGGGTTTCGGGATCTCGACTCTGGCAATACTTCTGTCGATTCCAGTTTTTCTTGCGGGATCCGCTTTTTACAGGAACAAGGTTCCGCTCGGGAGCCCACTCACGACGATATGCAAGGTACACGCACGCGCGCACACACACACACTGCATTTGCACTAAACTATTCGACAATTTTTTTTTTTTCCCGACTCGATGGAAACTAATCCATACATACGGTCTTTGCTAAACAGGTCCTCTTCGCCTCGTTGCTAAACACGTGCACGCCGCAAAGCATGCCGGGAAGCACGAGCAACGCCATCGCCAACATGTCCGCCAGCCCGTCCCCTCTAGTCCCCACCGAGCAAATCCAGTCCGACAAGCCCGACGAGAACGCGCAATATTCCCCGTCCGAGAGCCTCCGTTTCCTCAACCGCGCCGTGACCAACAACCCCGCCCTCCCGTTCCTCAAGTGCTCGGTCAAGGACCTCGAGGAGGTCAAAATCGTCCTCAAAATCCTCCCGACCTTCGCGTGCACCATCATCCTCAACACGTGCCTCGCCCAGCTCTCGACTTTCTCCGTCCAGCAAGCCGCCACCATGGACACGAGGCTCGGTTCCATGAAAGTCCCGCCCGCCTCACTCCCCGTCTTCCCCGTCGTCTTCATCATGATCCTCGCCCCACTATACGACCACGTCATAATCCCGTTCGCCCGGCGGGCCACCAAGTCCGAGACAGGGGTGACCCACCTCCGGCGAATCGGGATCGGGCTATTCCTCTCGGCATTCGCGATGGCCGTGGCCGCGCTCGTCGAGGCAAAGAGGAAACGGGTCGCGGGCCGGGCCAGGGCCGGGCCCGGCCCGTTACCGATCACGTTCTTCTGGATCGCGCTCCAATACGTGTTCTTGGGGTCGGCGGACCTTTTCACGTTGGCGGGCCTGCTCGAGTTTTTCTTCACGGAGGCCCCGTTCGGGATGAGGTCGTTGGCGACGTCGCTTTCGTTTGCGAGCTTGGCGGTCGGGTATTATATGAGCACGGTGATTGTGTCGGTGGTGAATAGGGTGACGGGCGGGTCGGGGCACGGGGCGTGGCTGTCGGGGGCGAACTTGAACGAGTACCGATTGGAGAGATTCTATTGGCTGATGTGCGGGCTTAGCGGGCTCAACTTCTTGAACTATCTGTTTTGGGCCTCCAAGTATAAGTATAGAGGGATGGGGTCGAGCTAATAGTGGTGGTGGAATCGGGGTCGATTTTCATGTCGTTTTTTTTTTTTTTTTTACGGGATGTAAATGTTATCGTCCGATGACTTGCTCGACTTGGTGGAGACGGAGGAGAGCAAGGGGTTAGTAGAAGATCAGGCTTGTATTACAATGACACAATGTAGATGGTTCTGATCTCAGTTTATGGTCTTTTGAAACTCTTTAATCCTTATATGTTGAATATTATTAGCATGTTTTGAATCAGTGTCGAGTAAATGAAAAATGTATGTTAATTTTTGTCAATTTTCTCGTGTTTGTTAATCTTTTGGAGAAGAGAACAAATTATTAAATTTCAGTATTCAGGGGATGTAGATGGTAGAGCGCTCGCTTAGCGTGTGAGAGGTACGGGGATCGATACCCCGCATCTCCACTTTTTTGCTTGCTTGCATTTTGTGTGTTTGTTTATTTATTTAGGTACTTCAGTTTGGATATATTTGTTCAATCTAAATATGGGTTGATTTGCATGACTGGTTTTTTGCTTGCTTGCATTTTGTGTGTTTGTTTATTTATTTAGGTGCTTCAGTTTGGCTATATTTGTTCAGTCTAAATATGGGTTGATTTGCATGACTGTTTTTGTTTGTTTGTTTTTTTT